GGGCCTGGGCAGGAAAGGGTGGCAGCAACGCAATGCTAGAGACTGCTGGGGTCCCCAGCGCAGACCAAAACCCACAGCCGGCAGGGGCGGGGCCTGCCCCAGGCCACAGGCAGTCTGGGCTGCACGCCCTCCACACACTGTATGCACACTGGATGAACACAGGCTGGGGCTGCACGCCCTCCGCACACTGAATGCACACTGGATGAACACAGGCTGGGGCTGCACGCCGTCTGCACACTGAATGCACACTGGATGAACACAGGCTGGGGCTGCACGCCCTCCGCACACTGAATGCACACTGGATGAACGCAGGCTGGGGCTGCACGCCCTCCACACACTGAATGCACACTGAACGCAGGCTGGGGCTGCACGCCCTCTGAACACTGGATGCACACTGAACGCAGGCTGGGGCTGCACGCTCTCTGCACACTGGATGCACACTGGATGAACGCAGGCTGGGCTGCACGCCCTCCGCACACTGAATGCACACTGAACGCAGGCTGGGGCTGCACGTCCTCCGCACACTGAATGCACACTGGATGAACGCAGGCTGGGGCTGCACGCCCTCCGCACACTGAATGCACACTGGATGAACACAGGCTGGGGCTGCATGCCGTCTGCACACAATGCACACTGGATGAATGCAGGCTGGGGCTGCATGCCCTCCGCACACTGAATGCACACTGAACGCAGGCTGGGGCTGCACGCCCTCTGCACACTGGATGCACACTGGATGAACACAGGCTGGGGCTGCACGCCGTCTGCACACAATGCACACTGGATGAACACAGGCTGGGGCTGCACGCCCTCCGCACACTGAATGCACACTGGATGAACACAGGCTGGGGCTGCACGTCCTCCCCACACTGAATGCACACTGGATGAACACAGGCTGGGGCTGCACGCCCTCTGCACACTGAATGCACACTGGATGAACGCAGGCTGGGGCTGCATGTCCTCCCCACACTGGATGCACACTGAACGCAGGCTGGGGCTGCACGCCCTCCGCACACTGAATGCACACTGGATGAACGCAGGCTGGGGCTGCACGCCCTCCGCACACTGAATGCACACTGAACGCAGGCTGGGGCTGCACGCCCTCCACACACTGAATGCACATTGAACGCAGGCTGGGGCTGCACGCCCTCCGCACACTGAATGCACACTGAACGCAGGCTGGGGCTGCACGCCCTCCGCACACTGAATGCACACTGGATGAACACAGGCTGGGGCTGCACGCCCTCCGCACACTGAATGCACACTGGATGAACAGAGGCTGGGGCTGCACGCCCTCTGCACACTGAATGCACACTGGATGAACGCAGGCTGGGGCTGCATGTCCTCCGCACACTGGATGCACACTGAACGCAGGCTGGGGCTGCACGCCCTCTGCACACTGAATGCACACTGAACGCAGGCTGGGGCTGCACGCCCTCCGCACACTGAATGCACACTGAACGCAGGCTGGGGCTGCACGCCCTCCGCACACTGAATGCACACTGAACGCAGGCTGGGGCTGCACGCCCTCCGCACACTGGATGCACACTGAACGCAGGCTGGGGCTGCACGCCCTCCGCACACTGGATGCACACTGAACGCAGGCTGGGGCTGCACGCCCTCCGCACACTGGATGCACACTGAACGCAGGCTGGGGCTGCACGCCCTCCGCACACTGGATGCACACTGAACGCAGGCTGGGGCTGCACGCCCTCCGCACACTGGATGCACACTGAACGCAGGCTGGGGCTGCACGCCCTCCGGACACTGGATGCACACTGAACGCAGGCTGGGGCTGCACGCCCTCCACACACTGGATGCACACTGGATGAACGCAGGCTGGGGCTGCACGCCCTCCGCACACTGAGTGCACACTGGATGAACGCAGGCTGGGGCTGCACGCCCTCCACACACTGGATGCACACTGAACGCAGGCTGCGGCTGCACGCCCTCCGCACACTGAATGCACACTGGATGAACGCAGGCTGGGGCTGTACGCCCTCTGCACACTGGATGCACACTGGATGAACGCAGGCTGGGGCTGCACGCCCTCCGCACACTGAATGCACACTGAACGCAGGCTGGGGCTGCACGCCCTCCGCACACTGAATGCACACTGGATGAACACAGGCTGGGGCTGCACGCCCTCCACACACTGAATGCACACTGAACGCAGGCTGGGGCTGCACGCCCTCCGCACACTGAATGCACACTGAATGCAGGCTGGGGCTGCACGCCCTCCGCACACTGAATGCACACTGAACGCAGGCTGGGGCTGCACGCCCTCCGCACACTGGATGCACACTGAACGCAGGCTGCGGCTGCACGCCCTCCGCACACTGAATGCACACTGGATGAACGCAGGCTGGGGCTGTACGCCCTCTGCACACTGGATGCACACTGGATGAACGCAGGCTGGGGCTGCACACCCTCCGCACACTGAATGCACACTGAACGCAGGCTGGGGCTGCACGCCCTCCGCACACTGAATGCACACTGGATGAACACAGGCTGGGGCTGCACGCCCTCCACACACTGAATGCACACTGAACGCAGGCTGGGGCTGCACGCCCTCCGCACACTGAATGCACACTGAATGCAGGCTGGGGCTGCACGCCCTCCGCACACTGAATGCACACTGAACGCAGGCTGGGGCTGCACGCCCTCCGCACATTGAATGCACACTGAACGCAGGCTGGGGCTGCACGCCCTCCGCACACTGAATGCACACTGAACGCAGGCTGGGGCTGCACGCCCTCCACACACTGGATGCACACTGGATGAACGCAGGCTGGGGCTGCACGCCCTCCGCACACTGAATGCACACTGGATGAACGCAGGCTGGGGCTGCACGCCCTCCACACACTGGATGCACACTGAACGCAGGCTGCGGCTGCACGCCCTCCGCACACTGAATGCACACTGGATGAACGCAGGCTGGGGCTGCACGCCCTCTGCACACTGGATGCACACTGGATGAATGCAGGCTGGGGCTGCACGCCCTCTGCACACTGGATGCACACTGGATGAACGCAGGCTGGGGCTGCACGCCCTCCGCACACTGAATGCACACTGAACGCAGGCTGGGGCTGCACGCCCTCCGCACACTGGATGCACACTGAACGCAGGCTGGGGCTGCACGCCCTCCGCACACTGAATGCACACTGGATGAACACAGGCTGGGGCTGCACGCCCTCCACACACTGAATGCACACTGAACGCAGGCTGGGGCTACACGCCCTCCGCACACTGGATGCACACTGAACGCAGGCTGGGGCTGCACGCCCTCTGCACACTGGATGCAGTTCTCGCATGTCACCCTGGACACACGTGTGCTCGGCCAAGGCACGGGGCATGCTGGTCCCGGGCCGTCGGGCCCCGCAGATGCAGTGTCTGTGGTCCTGGGAGAGGCTGGGCAGCAATGCCTCCCACAGCAGGTGACCCTGCACAGGGTGGGGCAGGCTGCCGGCCACATGCCCCTGGCTGCAGGGTCGCCCCACTAGGCCAGGCAGGCAGCTCACGGCCACAAGAGGAGGAAGGGGAGCGAGAAGGGGAGCCAAGGGGTCAGCTGGGATACCCGGAAGACAGAGACCAGAGCCAAGGAGTGTTCCGGTCCTCTTGGCCCGAGGCAAGGCCCCGCAGGGTCCTGTGGGCAGGGCGTGCAGGCTGGCCGCAGGAACAGGAGGACCAGGGAGGCCGGTGCAGGAACGAATGGGACATGGGCCGGCGTCACCGCGGGGCAGCACGCCACGGCACGTGGCACGCAGAGAGTGAGCCGCTGTGTGCCAGCCTGGCCTGGCCTGGCAGTCTTCGGTCTGAGCGACCTGCTGGCCAGAGGTCTCCACCGGCCCCGTCCCCAGCTGGCCGTCGGGGGCAGGGCTCAGCACACTCACTGCACTCTCTGGGTCAGACTCAGATCCCCAAGGCCAGCCACACCCAAGGGAGCGGAGCCAGGGTGTGACCGTCGGGAGGAGGGCCGGGGCAGCAGGATGGCTCCTGCACCTGCCAAGAGTAGCCAAGCGCGGGACAGTTCGACAAGCTCACAGGCTTCCCCAGAAAGAGCAAACAAGAACGGCAGCCACACTGGCATCCTCAAGCAGAAAACCAGGAAAAGTCTAACGCTCAACTCTGACAAAACAAGAAGCCACCATGCGGCAGAGAGGCCTCGGCCTCACGGCACTGAGCCAGAGCGGCCCAGATCCCGTCTGTGTCCAATAACGTAGCCACACCACACCGGTGTGCGGGCACACACCTTCAATCCGGCACTCAGGAGCTACGTCAGGAGGATTGTTCCAGATCAGCCTAGGCTACAGTGCAGAAGAAAAAAAAAAAAGGTGGCCATGTTTACAACCCACTGCCAGGCAGTTCCAAGACAACACGGGCTGCGCTGGGAGCCCAGGCCGAGCCCTGAGCCCGGGCTACGGGCAGGCCCTGCACGCGCTCGGAGGCAGAGGAACAGGCCAGTGGTCGACACTGACAACTCGGGGTGGCATCAGAGTGGTCCCCACCCCCACAGGGCAGGGGCCCAGGCCTGCAGCCGGACCCTCTCAGTCCAAGAACACTGGCACTGAGCGGCCCATGCACGTGGGTGAGACCTACAAGAAGGGTATGCAGGGGGCCCAAAGATGGTGGTTAATCAGGACGGAATGCCAATGCTCACAGGGTGCAGGTGACACCCACGACGCGATGCCAGTCCAACAAGGGACAGAGGCACAGGGAGGGGCAGCACACGCGCGGCAGGATTCCCCTCCGGAAGCAGGAGAAACCGGGCGCAAGCACCTCACACCTGCAATCCTGGCCACCCGGGAGACCGAGGACCGAGGACTGAGGAGTCTGAGGGACTCTCTCCAATTAACTAAGCAAGCCAAGAAGTTCAGGCCCCGTCCTGGTGCAAAACAAGATGTGGGGCAGGCGTCCAGGGGGACTCGAAGGGGAGTCGGGCACGTCTGCAAGGCAGTTTCCAGCTCCAAAATCTCCAGGAAGAAAGAGCCGAGTCTACCCACCTCGAGATCGTCCAGGGAGCGCGTGATGCTCAGCCTCTTGGATCTTCCGAACGACCTCCGGGCGGAGGTGCGCTGGGACGTCTGGGCCAGTCCGATGCCCCGCCCAAACCTGGAGCCCTAGACACAGAGAAGAAGACGTGTGTGTGAGCATCTGCGGAGCGTGTGCTCTCACCGCAGGGAGAGCAGGGCCAGACTCCGTCATCCCAGGCCCTGCTGCCAACGAAGCGCGCGTCACACGCTCGAAAACACACTCCAGAGTCGTCCTCTGCCAGCCACCCACTGGTGCCCAGCAGCTGCCTCCAGCACCCGGCCCCCGCCTCCCCACGCCCAGTCCTCCGGGCAGGAGGACCTCAATCGTGTGCACCTGAGGAGTCACGTACGAGCAGAGCCGAGGCAAGGCCTTGGATGTGCTCTGACCAGACTCCCTAAGCGTTCTGTGGCGTCTGAAGACGGTCCAGGCCCCGGTCCCGAGCCGGGCTCCTCAGCCCGCTTCCCTGCGGCAGCAGAAGCCCCCCAGAGGGGCCGGAGGCCCAGTGACGGCACCGCCCTCCACCGCAGCAGCGGAGCCCCGCGCCAGGCCTTGCGGGAGGACCCGGAGTCCCTCCCCACCCAAGGGACTGGCACCCGGGGCGGGCGGGAGGAGGTGAGGTGCTCTGGAAAGCTCGGCCCCACCCCGACGACGGGAGAGGCTGGGATCCGCACCTGCAAGTGTTTCTCACCCGCTGCCTCTCCCCCCGCGTGCTGTAAGCAGCCCGCGCTGGACATTGTCCTCCCGCGTGCTGTAAGCAGCCCGCGCTGGACATTGTGCCCCCGCGTGCTGTAAGCAGCCCGTGCTGGACATTGTGCCCCCGCGTGCTGTAAGCAGCCCACGCTGGACATTGTCCCCCCACGTGCTGTAAGCAGCCCGCGCTGGACATTGTGCCCCCCCCACGTGCTGTAAGCAGCCCACGCTGGACATTGTGCCCCCCCCACGCTGTAAGCAGCCCACGCTGGACATTGTGCCCCCGCGTGCTGTAAGCAGCCCGCGCTGGACATTGTGCCCCCCCCACATGCTGTAAACAGCCCGCGCTGGACATTGTGCCCCCGCGTGCTGTAAGCAGCCCACGCTGGACATTGTGCCCCCCCACGTGCTGTAAGCAGCCCACGCTGGACATTGTGCCCCCCCACGTGCTGTAAGCAGCCCACGCTGGACATTGTGCCCCCGCGTGCTGTAAGCAGCCCGCGCTGGACATTGTGCCCCCGCGTGCTGTAAGCAGCCCGCGCTGGACATTGTGCCCCCGCGTGCTGTAAGCAGCCCGCGCTGGACATTGTGCCCCCGCGTGCTGTAAGCAGCCCACGCTGGACATTGTGCCCCCGCGTGCTGTAAGCAGCCCACGCTGGACATTGTGCCCCCCCGCGTGCTGTAAGCAGCCCACGCTGGACATTGTGCCCCCGCGTGCTGTAAGCAGCCCACGCTGGACATTGTGCCCCCCCCACGTGCTGTAAGCAGCCCACGCTGGACATTGTGCCCCCCCGCGTGCTGTAAGCAGCCCGCGCTGGACATTGTGCCCCCGCGTGCTGTAAGCAGCCCGCGCTGGACATTGTGCTCCCGCGTGCTGTAAGCAGCCCACGCTGGACATTGTGCCCCCGCGTGCTGTAAGCAGCCCACGCTGGACATTGTGCCCCCGCGTGCTGTAAGCAGCCCGCACTGGACATTGTCCCCCCGCGTGCTGTAAGCAGCCCACGCTGGACATTGTGCCCCCCCCACGTGCTGTAAACAGCCCACGCTGGACATTGTGCCCCCGCGTGCTGTAAGCAGCCCGCGCTGGACATTGTGCCCCCCCCGCGTGCTGTAAGCAGCCCACGCTGGACATTGTGCTCCCGCGTGCTGTAAGCAGCCCACGCTGGACATTGTCCCCACGCGTGCTGTAAGCAGCCCACGCTGGACATTGTGCCCCCCCCACGTGCTGTAAACAGCCCGCGCTGGACATTGTGCCCCCCCCACGTGCTGTAAGCAGCCCGCGCTGGACATTGTGCCCCCGCGTGCTGTAAGCAGCCCGCGCTGGACATTGTGCCCCCGCGTGCTGTAAGCAGCCCGCGCTGGACATTGTGCCCCCGCGTGCTGTAAGCAGCCCGCGCTGGACATTGTCCCCACGCGTGCTGTAAGCAGCCCACGCTGGACATTGTGCCCCCCCCCACGTGCTGTAAACAGCCCACGCTGGACATTGTGCCCCCGCGTGCTGTAAGCAGCCCACGCTGGACATTGTGCCCCCCGCGTGCTGTAAGCAGCCCGCGCTGGACATTGTGATGCCATCAGTAGATTTTTCTGTCCCACTGTTCATGCTGGTAGAATTTTAAATTTCTAACCAAACCGTCTCAACCCTAGACCACAGCCGCCAAGGCGCCCCCCTCCCCCACCCATGCCGTGGCAGGGCCGGTGTTCCGGCAGGATTACTCAGCAGTAATGGAGACGGGTCACCCGAAGGGGTCTCCGGAGACGGAGTGTGGAGAATCATGGAGAGTAAGAGTGGGGGCCGGCAGGCTTCTCCTGCTGTACTGCTGAGCGCCAGCCCCTCGGGGCACGGAAGCTCCAGGTGTAGACCAGAAAGCGCTGGAATGCAAGGACGGGAGCTATGGTAACGAACAGCGACCCGCTGGCAGGAGGGCTGTGGCCAGGGCCTGCGGCCTCCCACGGCCGGAGCACCCCAGGGCCCCGACGCTCCCGCACCACATCCTCCGTGAGACAGGCGTGGACGCATCCAACCCCGGAGGCTTGAGGATCACGCCAGACCGCCGTCCCCACACACAGCGCCAGGCTGTGCCTCTGCCCGGTGAAGATACACCCCAACCCCAGAGACCCAAACAGCTTCCATCACGTCCGCCTGCCAACAGAGAACGCACTCGATCCACTGTCAGCCAGGCCGCTTTCTGCACAGTCCGCCACCGCGGCCCGCCTTGGAGGAAGCAGGCCCTGGGGAGGCCTCGGAGGAAGCAGGCCCTGGGGAGGATGGCGGGGCCCGGGGGACACAGGCCACACCTCGACTCGGAAGGCCACCGCATACCCACTCCATCCTGCAGACTGGAGTTTTAGAAAACCCACAGGAGCCGGGTGCTGGTGGCTCACGCCTGTAATCCTAGCTACTCAGGAGGCTGAGATCTAAGGATCGAGGTTCAAAGCCAGCCTGGGCAGGAAAGACTGTGAGACTCCTATCTCTAATAAACCACCAGAAAACCGGAAGTGGCGCTGTAGCTCAAGTGGTAGAGTGCTAGCCTTGAGCTGAAGAGCTGAAGGACAGTGCCCAGGCCCAGAGTTCAAGCCCCACAACCGACAGAAAAAAGAAAAAAGAAAACCCACAGGACCACAACTAGGCAAGCGTACTCTGTGCTCGCTACGCCACGGCCCGCGGTCCCTGTGGGGAGATGACCCAGAGAGCTGCCCTCTTAGCTGCACACAGGACGAGAAACTCGGAGGGAGGGGGAGGGGAATCCCGCGTGCAACGCCTCCTCTCACCCCCTCACCCCCCTGCCCTGGCCCCGCCGGCCAGCAGCCTGTGGAGCAGAGCAGACAGACTTCCCTCCTTGGGCTCTAGGAAGGAAAAGTCGGAGAAGCACTGGGAGACGACCTTCAGAAAGACAGAGCCGACGACAGCACCGAGAGCCACCAGGGGCAAACGCACCGCTGGGAAGGGTGTCAGGACCGGGATCCGGTGACGAGCTCGCCCAGGCCACCCCGGCCACCTCTGCGACGCGACGCACGTCTCCGGCCACGCAATCCCCGGCACAGGCCCGAGGGACACCGTGCCCAGGGCAGGCTCCACAGCTCAGGGGGCGGGACGCCACAGGCACTCCGTCGGCCACCAGAGGCCGCCAGTTCTCAGCTCGGACACAGAGCGGCCGTCTGCACACCCAGCCAGGGTTCCGGAGCTGACGGCCAGCAGAGGGGGTGACGCCCATCAGTGAGACCCCCTGAGACCTCCGTTCTTGTCCAGAACACATTTCAGAGCAGCCCGCAGCTCCGTCGCGGGCCCGGGCCCTGGCGGCCTCACATGCTAACAACGCCGTCCGAGGCACTCTGGGAGGCAGGGCACACGCAGCGGCGGCAAGCAGCCTGCCTGCGGACAGGGCAGGCTTCGGGACAGACCAGGCACAGGTCTGCGGCCGACGCAGTGGCTTCTATGGGATGGAAATCATGGGGGGGAGGGGGCGTGGTAGATGTCTGAGTCCCCGCCCCCCAGGAGTCAATGGAAGAGAGGGCGGCAAGGAGACTCCAGGCATGCTGCACATGGAAAGCTCACCACCCGGACACTCACTGCCAGGGGCAGTGAGGTAACCCAGAGCTAACGCACTCGACCGCTGCACCTACGCAGCCTCCTGTGTGTGTACACATATGTATGTTACCCACTTTCTATAAACCCTCATTGATTGATTGGTTGATTGATTGCCGGTCCTGGGGCTTGAACTCAGGGCCTGGGCGCTGTCCCAGAGCTTCTTTTGCTCAAGTCTAGTGCTCTGCCACTTGAGCCACAGCGCCACATCCAGCTTTTTCTGTGTATGTGGTACTGAGGAATGGAACCTAGGGCTTCATGCATGCTGGAGAAGCACTCTACCACCAAGCCAGATTCCCAGCCCCAACCCTCATATTTATTCTTTCCTTTTTTTTTTTTTGGGTCCGTCGTGGGGCCTGAACTCTGGGCCTGGGCGCTGTCCCTCAGCTCTTCAGCTCAAGGCTAGCGCTCTACCACTTGAGCCACAGTGCCACTTCCGGCTTTTTTCTTTTTTCTTTTTGCTTATGTGGTGCTGAGGAATCGAATCCAGGGCCTCAGGCATGCAAGGCAAACGCTCTACCACTGAGCCACCTTCCCAGCCCTTATTCTTTCCTTTTATCCACAGTAGGATTGCTGACTTGCTCTGTTTCTTTCTACCTCTAATCCACCCCTAATCTAACATACGATCTGCAGACTTACTCAGTAACTGCCCAACCCAAATATTCATTTTTCCTAGGTATTTTTCTTTGTGTGTGTTATGCATGCATGTGCGTGCATGTGCATGTACGTGTATCTCGTGCTGTTCTGAGTTTTGCTTGGTCAGTTTTTTTCCTTGTCGCTGTTTTATCCAGTTGTCACGTGCTGACCTACTCAATTCTCTTCGCTTGGCCTCCCCCCTCCCACCGACACAGCATGAGCTCAGGCTCCTGGCCCCCCATTCTGCTCTCCTGCGCCCCTCCCATTCCTTCCCTCCCGTCTGCCTGCACACGGGTGCTGTGCATTATTGTTACCCCACTGTCACCCTGGTTAACCAAGCTCTTCCTAGGACATAGAACTCAGGGCCTGGGTGCTGTTGCTGAGATCTTTTGCTCAAGGCAAGCTCTCTACCATTTTGAGCCACAGTTCCACTTCTGGTTTTCTAGTGGTTCACTGAAGATACGCGTCTCATGGATTTTCCTGCCCAGACTGGTATTGAATCACAATCCTCAGACTCAGCCTCCTGAGCAGACATTTTTATATCTACATTGATCTAGAGACACTGGAGCACTAGAGGGGTCTAGTCTGCATATGGACTGTCACAGATGGGAGGCTGTGTTTACCACCTGCAATGTCTGGAGCAGAACTGAGAAGACTCTGTACCTCGTATCTGGGGCATCAAAACGGACTGTTGGACAGCAGAGCCCCACTTCTCCAACACAGCAGCAGGAAAACACACCTCAACCAACCATTACCCAGTCCTGAGTCCTCTATAAGAAATCACCAACTCGGGCTGGGAAGGTGGCTCAGTGGTAGAGCGCTTGCCTTGCATGCCTGAGGCCCTGGGTTCGATTCCTCAGCACCACATAAGCAAAAAGGAAAAAAAGCCGGAAGTGACACTGTGGCTCAAGTGGTAGAGCACTAGCCTTGAGCTGAAGAGCTGAGGGACAGCACCCAGGCCCAGAGTTCAGGCCCGACAACAGAGGAGGAGGAGGAAGAAGAGGAAGAGGAGGAAGAGGAGGAGGAGGAGGAGGAGGAGGAGGACGAGGACGAGGACGAGGACGAGGAAAGGAAATAGCTAATAGATACTTATCCTGAGCGATAGAGGAAGTGAGAATCAAAACCACACTAGGATCCCATCTCACCACAGCCAGAATGACAGCACCCACACATGCTGTTGGTGGGAGTGGGAACTAGAGCAACCACTATGGAAATCAGCATGGAGATTCCTCAATAACTAAACGCAGAGTGATTCTCTGGCTCCATCATGGCACTATTGGGTACAGACCTGAAGGAGAGTGAATCAAAACCAGAAAGACACCCACATACCCATGTTTACCAAAGCACTACTCACAATAGCCAAGCAACAGAATCAGCCAAGATGTCCAGCAACAGACGCTCAAACAACGAAGATGTTTATAAACCACAGACTATCACACAGCTCTAAGGAAAAATGAAATCATATCACAGCTGGAAAATGGATGGAACTGGAGTATTTTATATTGAGTGAGATAAGATAAGATTAAAAAAAAAAAAAAAGCTTTAAGGGGCTGGGAAGGTGGCTGAGTGGTAGAGTTCTTGCCTCACATGCATGAGGCCCTGGGTTCAATTCCTCAGCACCACATAAGCAGAAAAAGCCAGAAGTGCTGCTGTGGCTCAAGTGGTAGAGTGCTAGCCTTGAGCTGAAGAGCTGAGGGACAGCACCCAGGCCCAGAGTACAGGCCCCGCGACCAACAAAAAAAAAAAAAAAGAAAGAAAGAGCAGCTATTAATGTGGTTCATAGCTAGAAGCTAGATCTAAAAGACATATACGCTTATAGACATACATATAGACACACGTACATATACATACCTGGATACATCTGTATTTATGGATAAACATAAAACATGATCTAACTAAGGCACTACTTAGAGCATAAAGGGGAAGCGGAAATGGGAAAAAAAGATGAATAAATTTTAAATACGTTAACTATATCTGAACACAGCATACAGAACCTCGAGGAAGCTGTTGGTCAGCAGTAAGAGAGACAGACTGCTAGGGCGTGGGGCGTGGGGGGGCGTGTGGAGGAGGGGCGTGGGGAGGAGGGGCGTGGGGAGGAGGGGCGTGGGGAGGAGGGGCGGGCCAGGGTGAATGACTGACAGGGATGTGGTCACACACACAGAACCACAACAGTGAATCTGCTGAACGTGTCCTTACGAAGTCCAAGTTGGGGTGAGGGGTGGAGGGGCGGGGAGAGTGGTGGAGGGGCTCTTGACTGGAACACATTGTACCCACGAGTGAAATGTCACAATGAAATCTAATGGTTATTAACTAATATATGCGAATCATTTCAAAAGAACTACAGTGTGCACACTCAGAAAAATCACTTTGTCCACAGCATTCTGTGGGCACAGAGCTAAGCTCCGCCCCCACGAGGGCGCGCACCCTCCTCCCAACCACAAGGACCGCAGCCCACCCTGTCCTCTGCTACGTGGGGGCGGGGTGGGGGCGAGGGGAGCGGGGTCTCCCGATTCCCTCACGTTGCCATCGCTCATGCTCCGAACTCGGCAGAACTAGGTTCTCTGGTGCTGCCTGAGCCACAATGCAGAGCAGAGCACTGGGTTCGCTCAACCAACACCCGGGCCAGCTCCCCGAAGCCCGCAGCACAGGCTTACTGAGGCCCGCCCCACGTGAGCCAGCTCTCGGCTTCCTGATCCTACCTCGACCACTGGGGCGGGAGGGTGGCTCTGGGGTCGGGGCTGTTGTACTGCCTTGGGAGGCGGGGAGGGGAGGGAGGTCAGGAGGTTCTGTTAGGCTGTGGAGAGCCACCGTCCCGCGCGCTCCAGGACGGGTCAGAAGAACTGGCCGGCCAGCAGAGGCCTGGGGCAGCTGCTGCGGCCCGCTCGGCCCTCAGGGGGACTCACCTTTTTGTCCTCCTTGGTCTTCCGAATATTTCGGTGAGGCCCGAAAATGTTCTGCATCCCAAAGGCCTTCCGGGACCAGTCCCTCTTCTGGGCCCGGGGCGCGGCCTGCGGGAGGCTGCCCTCCACCCGGTAGCGGTCGGCGGGGATCTTGCTCATGGGCGGGGGCAGCGTGCCGCAGTTCACGCTGGACCAGCCATCCGTGGAATCCGTGTAGGACTCCTGGTCGCTGGCGTGGCCGCACTGCCACTCCTGGAGTACATGGACGGGGAGCCACCTCTGGCTGGAGGCGCCCCTCCTGCAAGGGGGCACGGAGCTCCGCAGGGAGGCTGGGGGCACCTCCCCGTGGGAGGTCGGTCCCGAGTGCCTGGCCAAGTCACGGAACCTGTCGGCCTGGGCACCGGTCTCAAATGGGGAGCCCCCCTCGGGGTCGTGGCAGAAGGTCCCGTTCCAGGGCGCACCCCAAGGCTGGGAGCTCCTCCCGCCCGCCCCCTCCCACGGGGGGCCGCCGCCCTGGCTGTGCCTGTTGGAGGCCCCCCCCAGGTCCACCACGAGCACCCGGTTGCTCTTCTCCTCCTGGTTGAAGTTGCCGATGCCGCTGTCGCTGTTGCTGCTGGTGCTGTGGTTCTGGTGGGCGTCGGCGTCCCCGTCCAGGAAGGCCCGGGCCCGCACGCCCTCCATCAGCTCGCCCATGTCTCGGTAGAGGACAGAGATGAACTGCAGCACGGGCAGCGAGGACAAGGGGAACTCCAGACAGCCGCCGGTGTCGGGGTCGGCCGTGCAGGCAAATCCGAACCTGCGGGCGACGCCCTGGTGGACCCGGTGGTGGAAGAGGTCGGGGTCCACCATGAACACGTGGCAGGACGTGCGCAGGGCGCCCTCGGCCTCCTGCGCCGGGCCCCTGTCCTCGTTGGTCTGCATGGTCACCAGCCCGAAGAACCGCCTGTCGTCCGGGCACACGGCGCTGAAGGCCAGCTTCTCCGCGGGGTACTCAGCCACCACGCCGGCCCGGTCCGTGCACAGCTGCACCCGGTCGTGCATGACCCTCAGGGTCACCAGTGAGTGGATCTTCTGCTCCGCCCGCAGCCGCCGCATGCACCCGCGCATGGCCTGCAGGCTGTCGGTCTCCAAGTTGGAGCTCGTGGAAGGAAGCTCGATGGAGCCCAAATAGCCCACCACCATGGCCACATTCAAGATGCTCGCGTCCAGTCCAAAGGCGTCGTGACCGTGGCCTTCCAGCCCCCCGGCCGACGCGGAGTCGTCACCCGTGGTCTGGGCCATTTCGTCCTTTGGCGGCAGGCCGGGGCACAGGGCGCTCGGGCTGTCCTGGCCGGGGGCCGGCCCCACCGCGGCAGACTCCGACAGTGACCTCTGCTTCAGCCTGGACGGCTCGGAGCTGCTGGCACAGAGGCCGGGGCTTTCAAACATCATGTTGAAAATCCCCCCGGACTGCACTTCCTCCACAACCCTCTCTGCCCGGTTGATGCCCAGGGCCCTGGAGTCGAGCTTGGGCCTCAGCCAGCCCTTCCCGTGGTAGAGCCCGGTCTCGTCGTCGCTGGAACAGGACTCGGCGTGGCGGCCGTGGCCCGCGCCCTCCCCAATCACCATGCGCAGCACCCCGGAGCACTTCCCGATCAGCTTCACCACGTCTTCGTGGGAGGCCTTCTTCACGTTGATGTCATTGATGGCCAATATCTGGTCTCCCGCGCGGAGGCCCACAAAGTCTGCGGGGCTGCCCCTCATGACACAGCTGAGGGCACAGGGTGCCTGGCCCGAGAGGCTGAACCCATAGCCGGCCCTGCTGCGGGCCACCTCCACAGCCCGCACGCGCGGGGGCGCGGGGCCCGCCAGCCGCCGCCCCGGCTCCCCCGCCCGGAACATCCTGGACAGCCGCCAGGGCAGAGCGCATGTCGCCTTATCCCAGGGGACCCATGCGGCCAGGAACGCCGTGCTGCTCTGCGCTTCCTTGAGACGAGGCCCTAGGGGAGAAAACAGGGGCTAGTTATTAACAATCCCAGTCCTGTGGTCTGCCGCCACAGAGTGGCGATCGGGCGCGCGCACCAGGGTGGGAGGGGGGCGAGGAGCCCTCCCGAGCAGCAGACAGCACCTCAGGCTCGGGGAGCCCCACTCAGGACTGCGCAGGGGGAGGCTGGCAGGGCAGCCCCTCTGCCTCTTCCATCGAGATAGAGAGAGGCCCCGCACACAGACCCCGCTCCCCTCCAGGCCACACGTGTCTGGCGAGCCCTGTGGCACTGAGTGCAAAGTAACGGCAGTGCTTCTCCGCCTGACCGTCCCATCCAACCGCGGCCAGCAGGGCCCCCCACCACATTCTCCGCCCGCCCCACAGCCACACAGCTCATTTACTCTGGACGAAGTGCTACGTGAGGAAGACACCCGCTCAAATGACTCAGTCAACAAAACCACCGCGGTCACCCGACAGAAGAGATAAAACAGCACCAAATGTAGACTCGGTTTGCTCCAGGGGCGTGGCAGCGGGCGGCCCCTCCAGCACGGGGCACAGAGGCCCGCGCAAGCCCAGGCCCGCTACAGTGGGGGCGGCAGAACCAGCAGGGAGCCGCCCTGGCCGCAGGCCGCGCCCCCCAGCCCAGGCAGAGGCCGCGTCCAGGGCTGTCATGCCAAATCCAGACTCCAGAGCATTTCCCAGGGAGTCTCCCGAAGCAGAGCAGCATCGCTCTGGCCACACCGTCCCGTGGCCAGCCAAGGCTGGGGGCCCCGACGGCAGGTGTCCTCCCCGGCCGGGTGCCCCACCCAGCCCGAGGCCAGGGCTCCCCCTCCCCGACACACACGTGCACACACACGCACGCACACACGCACGCATGAGTGCACGCGCCACACCACCGAGAGGGCTGCCTCAGATGTTCAAAACAATGAGGTCTGGGCTTGGGCTGTGAAGAGCATGATTTTTAAGAGCAAATGTCCTTAAAATAATTGTTGTTCAAAGATATTCTCGTGTCTCGGGATAGAGTTTCCTGTAACGGCCTCGCGGGACGCAGGGCGGCCCCGGCCGGCGCCAGCAGGAGGTGCCCGCGGCAGGGCCGGCAGTGCTTGTCTTCATACACGCACGTGAGCGGTGAAGTATCACGATGCTCAAGTTATTATGTTACTACTGTGCTATTAATAAAGTATTGTGCTAAGTGGAGCTAAAGTCATCATCTCAGCATTAGGATTCATCTTATTATTCATAAGTAAAAGTGCACACGTTGGAGCAGGGTGCAACTCAGGGTAGAGATCCTGTTGAGCAGGACAGAGGCCCCGAGTCCAATCACCAGCACTGCAAAAAAAACAAAATACATACATGTATATGTTATATAACACATATACACGTATCATAACATATACATGTGTTATAGATACATATACACATATAAATGTATTGTGTTATTTTTTGGCAGTGCTGGGCCTTGAACTCGGGGCCTCATGGTTGCCAGGTAGTCCCTCTCCCACTCTAGCTACATCCCCAGCCCTTGTTTGCTTTCGTTATCCTTCAAATAGGGTCCTGAGCTTTGGCCGGGGGCCAGCCTCCAACACAGCCTCCTTAACCACGACTGCTGTATGGCTGTTCACGCTGCAGCTGGCCGGACGCCGCGTTAGGACCTTGTCGTGGGTCCTCCCGGTGTGGACGGCCGAACTGTGCCTCCAGAGCACCACATCCCGGCCCAGAGCCCAGGCCGCCCCTCACAGGCCCTCACAGGGGAGAGGACCCCGGTTAGGCCTGGGGCCTGCGGAGGAAGGGAGGGGGCCAGCCTGCGGAGCCTGCCCCAGGAGGCGGGAACCCGCGGGAGCTCCCACACAGCTCCAGGCCCTGCCCCGCACGCCCCGCACCCCTGGGAACCGCACCCTGGCTGGCCATCATGGCCGTCCAGCCAGTGTGATGGACCACACCAGCCATCCACTTCTGCCACGGGCCTCCTCGCCCAGCCTGGCTGCCGGTACCACGAGGTAGCAGTCCGCCCACCCCACACCCACACTGGACCCCCTGGGGAAGCCAACCACAGGCAGCTCCCGCCCCGCGAAAGAGCACAGCCCAGGGCCCAGAGCATCCTGCCCGGCCTGCCACCTACAGCCTGTGATGCTCCTGTATCCGTGCACTGCAGTCCCACACACCCGCCCCCTTCCCTTCCTGCGCTGGCTGCTGGCCTGCCCACCCGTCCATCCCCAGGCTCCTCTTCTGTTCAGCACCAGTGGGGCCCAGCTCCTGCCTGGCTCCCGGGGACCTTCCCCACCCCAAGACCACTCTCCCCACTCTTTCCTCCCAGGCAGAGGAGGCTCTGAGAGGGCACTGAGGCCTTGCCCAGGACATGCAGAAGACGCCACCGGACAGACAGTCACCCAGCCAGGACAAACCACACCCCTGGGAATCTTCCAAGTCCAAAACGCAGGAGCGCGCTGCACGGGCCCACAGCACAGAGCAGGGGCCGGGAGGCCCGGGCTGGCCGTCCACCAGGAAAGCGCTGCTCAGCGGCAGAGGCCGCACAGACGCTCCTCGCGGGGGATGTGTGCGGCTGTACAGCGTGAGCTATAGGTCACATACACTCACGCGTGCACACACTCCAGCATGGAGGAGGCTGGCGGCCCGGCCCTCACCGCTGGTGGGCTGCTCACACACACACACACACACACACACACACACACACGCACACATGTATTGCTCTTTATGGTCAATGATCTTGGCCATCGGTATTTAATCCTTCTATATCATAGAACCACCAGAGTCTACAGTTTAAATGATTTTTCTTCATTCTGTTCTTAAGATGTTTGTGATTAAGGGCTTTATATTTCTTACAAATAATATAAACAATACAGTGCAATTAGAATTTGTTTTAACATTTCTTTTGAAGTATGTAGAATAGTTAATTTCATTTCTGCATAGTAAGTAGAGTACGCTGCCTTATGCACCTCCACTCCAGCATGGAGGAGGCTGGCGGCCCGGCCCTCAACGCTGGTGGGCTGCTCACACACGCATGCATGCACGCACGCGCACGCACACACACTCCAGCATGGAGGAGGCTGGCGGCCCGGCCCTCACCGCTGGTGGGCTGCTCACGCACGCACGCATGCACGCACGCACGCACACACACACGCACACACACTCCAGCATGGAGGAGGCTGGCGGCCCGGCCCTCACCGCTGGTGGGCTGCACGTGCGTGCACACACACACACACACACGCACACACGCACACACGCACACACACTCCAGCATGGAGGAGGCTGGCGGCCCGGCCCTCACCGCTGGTGGGCTGCACGTGCACACACACACACACGCACACACGCACACACACTCCAGCATGGAGGAGGCTGGCGGCCCGGCCCTCAACGCTGGTGGGCTGCACGCGCACGCACACACACACACACACACACGCACACACACGCACACATACACACACACACCAGCATGGAGGAGGCTGGCGGCCCGGCCCTCACTGCTGCTCGGACTTTTTTAAAAGGTGAGGGGAGTCGGAAGAAACCCCAGCTAAGCAGGAGGGACCTTGTTTGTAGTCACCCGCGCATGGACGGGCAGGCCTCCCGTGGAGCCAGGCTCCCCCAGCTTCCCACCTCTCAGCAGCAAGCACCCCGCCCCAGGTGACACAGCTCACAGCCACAGCCAGCCTTGCCCAATGCCCGCTGGCTGACCTGGAACGCAGCAGCCCTTACCACTGGACACACAAACCTTCACACTCCACAGACGGGAGAAGGAAACACCCCACGGTAAAAATAGTCCAGGGCAAAGGCCTCCGTAGAAGACACAAGGACCCCCAGGCCTGAGAACACAGGTGCCAGGCACCGGCAAGCCTGGCTACCAACATGCGACACACACACTGGCTGCAGCCCCAAATCCAGGGACCGTCCATCCTTCCCCAATGCCTCCCACTGGTGAGTGTCCAGAGCCCTACCTGTCCCCATGACCGAGCCTGCGGCCGCGGCTAAAACCCTAGCGCCAGACAACATGGAGCATGGCACAGTCCCGGTGGCACGGCCCGCCGGCGGCGGCACCTCTCACACGTGCACGTGAGTCCGCCCTGCTCAGATTACCTGGGTAACCACCCACGGGGCTCTGCCAGGGAGCAGGGTGCTTGCTGATGCCGATTAGGTTCATTCATGCAGAAAGGCACCTGGTCCTGTGGGCAGAGGCTGGGGGAGGGCCACGGCCATTTGGAGAGACCAGGGCCCTGTTCCCACGGCCCTCACCAGGCCAGCTTACCGCCACCCATTAGAGACACTAGACACTAGACAGATGTCCCCTGGACAGCCCCCAGCACAGCCCTCCTATTAACATGACCTCACCCATCCATCCTGGGGCACTCAGTCAAGAGATTCAAGATCAACCAGCTGCCAATGACTTCTGCCTGTCATCCTAGCTACTCATGAGGCTGAGATCTGAGGATCACAGTTCAAAGCCAGCCCAGCAGAAAATCCGTAAGACTCTGATCTCCAATTAACCAGCAGAAAACCAGAAAGTGGCACTGTGGCTCAAGTGGTAGAGCGCTAGACCTAAGCAAAAGAGCTCAGGGACAGTGCCCAGGCCCAGAGTTCAAGGCCCATGACTGACAAAAAAAAAAAAGAGATACAAAGTCCAAGACCCCAATAACTGCCCCCGCTCGGTGTGCCTGTGTGCATCTTCTCCCGCCTCGGGTGTCCAGGCGCAGGTGTCCAGGCACGGGTGTCCAGGCCTGGGTGTCCAGGCGTGGGTGTCCAGGCCTGGGTGTCCAGGCGCGGGTGTCCAGGCGCAGGTGTCCAGGCCTGGGTGTCCAGGAGTGAGTGTCCAGGCCTGGGTGTCCAGGCGCAGGTGTCCAGGCCTGGGTGTCCAGGCGCGGGTGTCCAGGCGCAGGTGTCGAGGCCTGGGTGTCCAGGAGTGAGTGTCCAGGCCTGGGTGTCCAGGCGCAGGTGTCCAGGCCTGGGTGTCCAGGCCTGGGTGTCC